CCCCCCAATTCCCCTCTCTAGCTCAGCTGTCAATAAGGCGGTCCCCCTGGCTAAGTACAGGCCGGGCACGCGCGCACAGCCGCCTCTGCCTTTAACGCCCGCGCCTTCCAATAGGCAGCAGCAGCAGGCCGGATGGCCAAGTTACGCGGGTCTGACTGTCGTGGCGGGGCGGGGCGTGCCGCGGCCACAGAGGGCGTAATGCGCCTACAAATTACGGCGCCGTGTCACAGCATCAGCGCCCGCCCCGCCCCGCCCCGCCACGCTCACGGAGGCTCGGGCGATACACGTTAGGTGGTTTGGCCGTTTCAATTTTATCATCATTCCGGGGAGGCGACGGCGCCGCAGCGCGGCGACAGTGGCGGGACCAGAGCTCCCTGCCCCCCCCCCCCTCTCCCCTCTCTCCTCCTTCGCTCTTTCCTATCTCTCTCTACCTCTTTCCAGCTAGAGTGTAACTCTGCCCAGCTAGACTGTAACTCTGCCCAGCTGGAGTGCAACTCTACCCAGCTAGAGTGCAACTCTACCCAGCTAGAGTGCAACTCTACCCAGCTAGAGTAGAGTGTGACTCCACCCAGCTAGTGTGTAACTCTACCTCTCTTTTGGAGTCCTACACTCTTTACAGCTCCGCCACCGGCTCAGCGGAGTTCGTAATGACAGACGGGCCCACGTCACATGGGTCCACTCCATTCCACACCGCCCCGCCCCGCCCCGCCCACGCGGCAATAAATAGTTTCATGTGAAATTCGACGAAAAAGATAGCCTGTCCTCGACCAAGCGGGATAGCACAGAGGGGAAAAAATGCCCTCTGGTAGAGACAGTCTTTAGGGGACTGTCTAAAAATTGTTTCCATGAACAAGTACAAATTAATTCCCTGTAACATTTTCTTTTCAAAGTTCATCATTTTACATTTAAAGTAAAATTCAGCTATCCACGAGCCCATTACAGCTGACAGCAGACAGAGCTGGCAGGCCTGATCAATAAGGAAGGGCCCGGGACTGACTGCGCGTGACCCGAGGCTCCAGTTCGCTGGCAAACAAGCAGCCGTCGTGACAACCCTATTTGTAGTTGGAGAGGTGCCACCCCCGTCACACCGCCGCCGTAAGGGACACGACGACACGGGCAAGGGCAAGGCGGCGTGGCATGGCAGGTTCAGCCGCGTCGTCGGGGCCGCGGGGCCTAACTACAGACCGTGACACTACCGGTAATTGACAGGTTGACGGCGGCTGGAGGCGGTGACGGCGGTGACGGCGAGTGACGGCGGTGGTCTGCGGCTCTGCGGTTGACACGTCTGTGTCGCGTGCTACTGCCGGGGCGGCCCCAGCGGCCCCGGAGGCTTATGATGAGCAGGCGGGGGCGACAGGACTCACCTTGCCGAGGGCTCGACGAGGGCGGCCTGTCGTCCGAGGCGCCGTTGTCCCCGCCGGAGCCGTCGGGGGGCGTGGTCCTGGGCTCGTCCTCGGCGTCGTCCTCCTTGGCGTCCCCCCCTACCAGGCTGCGGATGGAGAAGACGGACTTGGCGACGCGCCCGACGACGGGGGTGTGGTCCAGGGTGGCGGCCGAGCGCAGCGGCGACGGCGGCCGCGCGCCCTGGCCGAGGCCGTCGTGGACCTGCCGGGGGCGGACGCTCGTCGAGAGGTCCATGACGGGCAGGGCGGACGCCGGCGGGGGCGCGCGGGACGTGGCCTCGACGGTCACGTCCTCCTCGACGTGGAGCTGGTGGTGGTGGTGGTGGCGAGCAGCCTCGGGCCGCGGCCAGCGGAGCACCTCGCCGCCGCCGAGGTCCTGGTCGAATCCTAGTCCCGGGCGGTGGGCAGCCACCGTGGAGGACATGAGGGCCGTGTCGACGCCGACGGGAGGACACAGCTTGCAGCAGCAGTAGGGCGCGTGCGCTGGCTACCACCAGGGCATCCCGCAGGCGATAGCGCGGAAGCTGGGGCTATAGCACCACGACGTCCACGGGTCCACCGCGGGTCCGCGAGGTCCTTCAGCAGCCAGCCTCAAGGCAACAGCTCAACCGGAGCGCGCCGCACAACACCTCTGCTGCGCACGCCTCGCGAGATGATGGTGCTGGCGGCGGCGGCGTTGATGGCTTCGATGATTGCGGCCAAGACCAGGTGTGTAACTCGATAAGCGTCCTGCGGCCGGCCTGCCAAGGCTGGGCTGCTCGGCAGATCCGATTATGTTTATTGTGCAGCACACACACACGCACACGCACGCACGCACATGAAACTATGCTGTGCACATTCACATTCACTTTGCCGCCTTTTGTATGTATCACTCACGTATCTTGCAGCGGCGGCGGCCCGCTCTCCGCGCACGAACCTAACCTCCGCTAACCATTACCTTCTCACTCACACGCACGCACGTACGCACGCACTCACACTGACACGCGCCGATGATACGACCGTCCGTTCGATGTTGTCAAACAGCACAGCACAGCACAACACAACACACACGCGCGCGCGACTGGGCTCGTTCCTCGTGTGGATCGGTGCGGAGCGGAGGCTCGCGCGGCGGCCCGCTAACGTGACGGTAGAGACTGGCCGACTGGGCTCTCTCTAACCTCACCTCACCGACCGACCGACCGACGGTAGCGAGCGGGCGCGGCGCGGCGCGGGCCGGCCGAGCCTGTACGCGGCGTGGCGTGGCGTAGCGCGGCCTGGCGCCTACCGTCAAGGGCCCGGCTCGGCTCTGCTCGGCTCGGATACTCGGGGAACACCACCGCCGCCGCGGTGGCTGTGCCCGTGTAGACGACAAATACAGTCGTCCCACGATTACTTCACCGTTCGGCTTTTCGCCGACGAGTCTTCTGATTGGCTTAGATGGCGTTCGGGCCCATCACGTGACCTTTTCCGAACGGTAAAGTAATAGTGGGCCGACTATAAAAACCTGTTCAGTACAACAACGAGCACCCTCCACTCTGCCCCACCTCTCCTATCTCTCTCCCTCGCTCGCGCACAGTCGACGCTGCTCTCTCGCGCTCTCCCTCGCGGGCTCAGCAGCAGCCGGCTGCTCCACCGCCGCCAGATGCCGGGCGCGGGCCCGGGAGCCAATGGCGGCCGCCCGCCCCCACCCCGGCCGCCGGCGGGACGAGCTTGGCCACGCCCACGGAGCTCCACGAGCGGGCGGCCGCCACGGTCAGCTCCGGCTCCCAACAAAATGGCGCCCCCGCGGCCGGGAGAGGAGCAGGAGGATCCGCGAGTGTTCGCGGCCGTACTTCCCGCGGCTGTGTCAAAATCGCAGGAAAAAAGAAAAGCAAACTGAGATCCACCTGCCCGGCCTGCATGCGGCCATCTTGACGTATCTTAATATGGCACTTTAAAGGTGGGCCAGGGCACGAAAAATAAACCATTCCGATAAAGCTGAAATGCAGAAGAATGCGAGGAAGAAGAAAACGGAAATCAAGATGCTTTAACACGGTGACTTCCGTTTTCTTGTTCCATGCATTCTTCTGCATTTCAGCTTCACCGGAATGCATTATTGTCATTGTCATAACATGACCGGACATGACATCTATTTATGTCTTCCATTGTTGTTCTTCTCCCTCTACTTCTATTACAGCGAACATTTGAAACCCCCTATTTTAACATTTTACTCCATGCATGCGTGAATCCGCTTCCTGCATCCGAGGGAAGTCCAACAAGGGATCTGGAAATCAAAACGCGCCCGAAAATCCGCGCAAAATATTTCTTTCATTCATTTTTTATTATTTTTTTCAGTTTCTTTTCTAGATTGATCAAATTTACACCAATTTATCCCGACGAGCAGCCCATTTGCAGCCCGCGCTCGTTGTCGGCAACTAATCCTCATTATGGACTTGTTTCACCGGGGGTCGGCTGCTCGGCCGCGGCGGCGGGCGGCAGGCAGCCCCTTCTCTGCCATGGACCCGTCTCTGTTTGAATGATTTACAATTAACGAGGCTCGCTGCTCTGTTGCTGTAATGAGGCTCATTGTTGCATTTAATACCGATAGGCTGGGAGGTGGAGGTGCCTCCCTTCCCACCGCCC